TTCCATTTATTTTGTTTATAAACAAAATAAAGTTAGGGATATCTGAATTTCGAAATTCATTGATATTGAAAAGTATGGAGTAAAATTTGAGATAGTTAAGAGTTGAAGTCATTCCATTTTAAAAAGTTTAACATGGAACTATCAATTATTGTTCTTACATTTCTTATTTGATAAGCTTTATAAAAAATTATTCTAAAAAATAAGTGAAAAATCTAATTGAAATGTAAAAAGCTTATTAATTTATTTAAAAGATGAAAAAATAAATAAATAAGAGGGCAAGACCGCCGCCCGCAAACCCATCACCTTGATGGGATGGATTAGATTTTAAAGCTTAATTTCACTTGGTGAGGTTGTCCGCCCTCCCTTTTTTTCCCGCAGGCTTAAGGCGGGTCGGACAACCTATTTTACCACCCCTAGTAAATTTTCTCATCGAAACAATATTTTTGCTCAATTTAGCGTGGAACCATGTTTTGTAGGTGTTCAAAGCCAAAGAATTAAGGTGTTCCTTTGGTAACTTGCTTTTGATGATGAAAACTTAAAGGAAAATTTGGACAACTTTGTAGAACCTATTAATACCATGGTTTTATGATTGACACATTTTTTCTAAAATATGGTTTACAACATGATGTTATAGAAGATTTTCTAACATGTTGGTCAGGTTCATTTGAAGGTAGATGTTCTGATAGATGTTGTAACATCCTGTATCAGAACATCAGTACAAGTTGTTTATTCTTGACAAGGTTTTAACTGAGATTCCTTTTAGTTTTATCTCACTGATTTTTCACAGGTAAACGACATTTAATATGGAACAATTGATTTATTTCCAGCTGTACACAGGTTGCCAAAATTGGACTTCGAGACAATTTAGGAAAACTTATGTTTTGTTCCAAGATTTAAGGACATCTTTTTACATAAATTGATGCAACTCTCAGCATGGGCAACAAGGAATATCTAGGCGCAAATTTAATGCCCAAGGATTGTTGAAGAGTATTTAAAGAAACTACCTAGACCTAATTGCTTTAAGAATTTTGCAAAAAAAAAAAAGGGGAAGCCGATTTTTTTAGTCTTAGGTTTTGATGGTTCTTCAAGGGGTTTCTGTTTTTCTTTGTACATCCTCATGTATATTTTGATGCATTTGAGTTGACTGATTGTTCTCACAATTTGAGAATGTATCTTTAGCTTTATTTTAATTTCGAGTCACTGTGATTGTGACTGGTTTTTAGACTGTCATTGGGATTGGGAGAGGTCTTTTATCATTGCAGTAATTGGAAGTGAGACGACGGTTTCTCATATCTAAGAGGTGTCTAGGTAGAAGTTGCATTAGGTAGCGATTAAGTGATAAATTGTAAACTGAGATTATTTAGGCTTAATATTAATACTACTTATAATGGATTTCCTTCCTGACTTGGTAGCCCTAAAAGTAGGTGAGTTGCATCAAATCGAGTTAACAATTTCTTATGTTTTTTACCTTCTGCATTTAAATTATGCATTGCCTTTTATTTTGGTAAAAGTTATGTCAGTCTGAAGATGTCATGACATTGTGATTGTGTGTTGAGACATCATTCTTGACATCTTTATTGTGTATGCCAAAATTTTAATTGGTATCAGAGCCTGGTTTCCTGTTTTGTTTATTGGCTGAGTTCTAGGGAGAATATTTTCTTGTACTATGGACAAAAAAGGGGGATGTGTTAACAAACCACTTGTGTTGGATTGTGAAAACTATGTCTAGTGGAAGGTTAGAATTATAGCCTTTTTTAAATCCATGGATAGAAAATCTTGGAAGATTATGTGTAAAGGATAGAATCATCCTAGTGAGAAGGATGAAGAAGGGAATGAGTACTTGAAGCCAAAAGAGGATTCATCCAAAGAGGAGAATGAATTAGCTCTTGCTAACTCCAAAGTCTTGAGTGCTCTATTCATTGGAGTAGACAAGGATACTCTCAGAAAAATAGACACCTGCACTACTGCTAAAGATGTCTGGGAAATTCTCAGGACAACTTATGAAGGTGGTGAATCTTCTGAGGAAGAGTCTGCCAAATCTGTAACTTCGTTAACATGAAGGTGCAATTCTATGGTAGAATAAAGTTCTTATGTTGATCTATTGGCGTCCTACTGCTAAAGATTCATGTAACTTAGATCTTAAAGATTATCCAGAGTTTCTTGAAGAAAGTAATAAAACTCTTAAGTTTGAAATTGCTAATATTTGAAATCGGCTAACGTCATAACGAGTTTAGTAGATGCATATGTAATGGGCATATCTATCATGTTGTTTAACCAACTCTCATATCCAACGTTCCTAGAGAAGGACATGCCACAATGTGTTGGAATTCCCTTAAAGAATGGAAGTTTTATCAAGACTTCTTGATGATTGAGGTATAATAATATTTTAAAGGATTAATCAAAGCTTTCCAATTGTTTAAACTTTAAAATAGTGAGTTTAATTTCTACTCATTTATTAAAATTATTTTGATAACCAAAAAGATGAAATTTGTAGTATTTTATAGAAAAGAGGTTTAAATAAACCAAGTCGGGGTGCAAAGACAAATCCAGCACAAGGCCCAATCACAAAATGTTGAAAACAGTCTAACCAATTGATAGGCTTCATGACCCAATCAATTATATGCCTTCAAAATTCAAATATTTGAAAATTGGAGCTCTCTCAATAAAGCCTCCAATTGATTGGAAGCTTCACCCAATCAATTAGACATTAGCTATAAATAGAGGTAAGTTCTCACTCATTTCTCATCTCATTCCACCTTTCTTAAGTTGCATTAGAAAATTTTAAGCTATCTCAACCTTCTAATCATCACTTGAAAATGGCAAGAAAAATAACTCAGCCCTTTTTCTAGCATTCCTTATCCTTTCACCGTCGAAGTTGTACACCCGGATAGTCAGACAACTCATTATACAATGAATTATGTTCTCTTTCCAAGAAGGAGAAAACTGAGCACCATTCAAAAATAAGACATTCCTCCAGTTTGAGTTTTAGAAAATCAAGTTGAGAAAAATTGGGTAGATTCTATGGCCCATCATAAGTTGGATAGAAAAAAGAAGAACGTGATTATACCCTATGGAAAATTAATCATGAGAGTCTTGGTATACTATGGGTTTGACTTGGAATAAGAGGAATACAAAATTATGCACTCGAAAACAGGAAAAAGTATTTTGGGTCAAATGAGGTATGACATCCAAGGAAGGGAAATAGTCGCCTTACCACCTAAAGAACCATCAAAGGCAAGTCATAAAAGAAACAATGACATCCTTCTCATTACATGCATATATACATGTCATTGGGTCTAAACTCACGGAATCAAGGCATTTCTCTGTGAAAAGAATTGTGAAAAATGATTGTTCCGTTAAGCGGCATTGTAAAGCAGAACTCAAGGTTTTCCGCATTTTTGTGCACTCTCACATGTTGTTCCAAGTTATTAAATCAACAAAAGATAAAGTCATCATCATGTCAAGCTCTTATGCGTTCCAACATGCCCTGAATTATGCAGAAAGTCAGGTGTTTCATTTGATTTGAGACAGTGCAGACAGAAATTCAGTACGGTGCATTTCGAGCTCAGAAATTCAGAAATTTAGATCAGAAAATGGTTTGGGAATGATTCTTTAGTCATTAGAACTGTATTGAGGTCTTCTTCATTTCATCTATTCATGTCGAAGGCTAATTTTGTAAGGAATATTTTCTAAAGCACAAAATACCTGAAATGTGTTATACAGTGGATTTACCATTTCTCTTGTTTTTGGATGCTTAAAAATTTGTAACTTCTGATCAGAAAATCATCTTTGAGTGCCTCTTGGAGAGTTTGAACCGTCTTGTTATTTCCTTTAATTCTCGTGTTTGGCTCGGAAGCTAGTTCAATGAGGAAGATCTTCAAATGCGCGAGTACTCAGAAGCTATACAGTGGAAAAATAGTGAAAATAATACGCTGAACCGTTGTTTTGCAGATACTAAAAAATTCATAACTTTCGTCCGATTCATTGTTTTTAGGTGGTTCTTTTGGAGAAAAATATGTCTTGATTTTATCTTTGATCTCTATGCTCGGGCCATGAGCTAATTATTTGCAGAAGAACTCGAAAAGTGTCAATTACCAGAGAAAATTGCATGCCAAAATTGTTTTCTACCGGACTGTTTTTCGATATTGTAAAAACCATAACTCCCTCAATTTTTGTTGTATTAGGACTATTCTTGAAGTGTGAGATCAAAAATTTTGTAAGCTTCAATTTTTCTTCAGGGCCCAGGGTCAGATTGTGCTCCGAAGGCTTCAGTTTATGGCTCACATTCGAAAGTGCGCACGGAAATAAGCTGAAATTTTCAATACGGTGAAATAATTCCACTATTTCCCGCCATTCAAAATATCATAACTTGTTCAATTTTTATCGTATTAGGGTGACTCTTTCGGAATGATGTCACACATTTCGTCACCGACATTTTTGCTTCAGGATTTGCTTCGAGATTCTGCACCGAGCATCACGAGCTCGTGGTTTATTCGCGCGCCGTACACAAAATAAGCTATAAAATTCTGCACTGTGTATTTTTACACTGTATTTCTCGTCATTCAGGGCGACATAAGTTGCTCAATTTTTATTGATCGAGACGATTTTTTCGGCACTGCATCACAAATTTCGTCCAAGAGCTTTCTTTCAAGTTACTTGTCAAGATTTCATATCGATTATTACGAGCTTGTGGTTCGATCTTGAACTGTGCATAAAATAAGTTGAAAATTCAAGTTTGGAGCCAAGACTATATATTTTGAAATTCAATTGTCAAACATATTACACTCTCATTTTCACATTTTCAAAAGATCAAACCCAAAACCCTCTCTCTTTTTCTCTAAACTTTTCTTCATCTTCATCAAGAACTCAAACAACAAATTCAACAAAACTCATACAAAATTCATTGAATCTTCATCTTCCTTGCATATAATTCCGCAAGCAAGTTTCTCCGATCACTCTCCCTCCGTGTGAACAATGTTTGCTTCCATCCCCTTCTGATTATGGCAATTTTCCGGCCGCGACACCGCTGTTTCCCTCTTCGTCTCTTCGAGAACAGCCGGCGTTGCCCCTCCCGTCGTGAAGCATTTTCGCCAGAGTCTTTTTCTTTCTTCGTTGCGATTCAGTCCGGCGAAGTCATTTCCTCTTTCGTGCGATTCTTCGGACAACATTATCTTCTCCAATTCGGTAAATTTTCTTGAATTTATCAATTTTAATTTTTTGAATTGGATAATTCTTGAAGCTTAGGTGTTTGATTTAATGCTTGAGAGATGTAATTATATTGAAATTGAATCTTTGAAGTATGAGATAAATTTGACTCTTGAAAATTGTTAAGACTTGATTCTTGAAATTGTGTTGTTGATGATGATTAAAAGAAGAATTGGATGAATAAACATTGAATTATTGTGAATCTTGAGATTCAAGTTGATAATTGTTGGTGAGATTTAGAATTTTTGAATTGTTGGAGCTTAATTGAACATTATGTGAATTCATGAGATTATGTTGATTCTTGAACTGATTATGAACATTGAATTGATTTTACATAATTACATTGAGTTGAATATTCTTGAAGCATTTGTTCATGAATCGGTACTTTGATGCAATTTCGCTATATTTTCATTGAGAGTTTTGATGTTGTTTATGTCAATTTATGTTGAATTATGTTGAATCATGAATTGATGATGATAATTTAGTTTGATTTCATGAGTTAATGTAACTTTACATCATATTGTTGATGAATTTAATTTTTTCTATATTGAAAATGTTTTGATCCGATAAAGTTGTATTAACTCATGAATGATGTTTTACACTTGGAATTAAGATCTCTGGTATGATTTCATTATTTTTAACTTGTTCACCATTCTTAAGCAATATTACTTGAACCGATAAGCATGTTTTTGCGTCCCAATTGTTGAAAATGATTTTTATCGGTATTGATTCAAGTATAAGTTGTTGTCTGGAATGTGTAAACAAAGTGCAAATTGCTTTTAAGATTTGTTTGAAGTTTAATTGATCATGTTTGGACATTTATGGATGGTTAATGTTGATTTTTACCGTTTCCGATGTGATTTTCTGGATTGAATTATGATACAGTGTAGTGTTGTCCGGTTTTCAAAAACGCACTTGAAACTTATTTTAAGTGTTGGCTTTAGTTCTGTTGCACTTGTTTTAGCATTTGAGTGACGATTATGTAAAATTTTACAAATTTCAGAATAATTTTTTTTGTGCTTTAAAATTTAGTACAATGCTGTCTGATATTCTTTATAACATGTACATTGAGTTTTAGTATTCACATGATGCATGTTTTCACTTAAATTGTTGATTATTGGACATTGTTGTTGAGTTGGCTCGATTTTGTTGCGTTTTTAGAGTTAATTCTTAAGATGACGGAGGTGCTGCCCGGTTTTGTAAAGTGTGCCCGAAATGAGTTTTAATTGTTGGTTTATGCATCATCGCACTTGTATTGGTCTTTATTATACAATTGCATTGAGTTGTGTTGATTTCGGACTAACATTTTGTGTGATTCATGTTATGATGCACATGCTACCCCGTATTTGGTTTTGCGTTTTTGTTACTTGTTTGGTTTCACTTCATGCATGATAATATGCCATTTTAAATTTTGATGTTGATTGTTGAGTTACATTTGATATTCGATGTTATTTTCTAACTCTTCTTATGACATTGTGCAAGTTTTGGAAGGCAACTCATTGCGACACATTTGTTTAATTTTACTATTTGCTTTTGTAGCATTGCTTGGTGCAGGGCATTAGCTTGGAGCGTGCATAACTTGCGATTTATTTTTGAATTATAATATTGGATGATTATATTGGATATTGTATTTGATTTGATTTGTTGTTGATTCTAGCTCGCTCGAAGTATTCCAAGTTTCTTGGCTTGTACTCTCTATATAACGGACTCTTATCCATTTTGGTATATTTCTGGTTTATTTTTCAACATTTGTTTACCGCTTTTCTAATGCCATGAGAAGTAGGATAGAGATGCATGTTCTGGGAGTCTCTTTGAGGCAAAATCTGGTTTATTTAAAGACCTATTTAAGGAAAATTTACTGGTGCTTGTTTGTTTACCATTCTGTATATTTACATTTGTGCCAAAGGCCTTGATGAAGACGTCCCATTCCCATTCCTCATTGATAAGTCCTCAAAAGGAGGCAAGGCGACAGAGGATCCACAACCTACCCTGCCATTTCTTATCCGTATCGTTCCTAGCTCGCGCCATGCATTGACGCTTTGAACCGTGTTTCTCATGTTATTGAGCCAATCAGATGGAAAAGGGATTCATAACCAATTCCCCACACTTTGTCTTTAACTCGCGTTTGTGAAATGTTGATGCTTTGATGTGATCTTATTATTGCCTTTTATCCCCTACCTCGATTTTTGATATCTTGGTCAGGTGTTAGTCGCTTATGACGATTCACTTTTGTTCTTCTCTTGCCTCGATTATGTGATATCTTGGTTAAGATTTGACACCCCTTTTCTTTCTTGCCCTGATGATTTGATATCACGGTTAAGAACCATTATTTCCCCATTTAGCTTGTCTCGACGGTTTGATGTCTTGGCTAAGTATCCCTTTATCTTACCTTGATGATTTGATATTATGGTTAGGTGCCCCACTTCCTTTGTCTTACCTCGATGATATGATATCATGGTAAGGTATCCCTCTCCCTATCCTATCTTGGTGCCATGATACCTTGGTTATGTGTGTGCTACTTGAGTGAGTGGATACTCCTCCAGCTTTGTTTGATTGTTTTGGTTTCGACTTTGTGTGATCGCACTTGTGTGCATGTTTCTTTAGGTTTTGAACCTTTGCCATGTTCCCTTAGGATGTCTCGATTCAACCTTTGGTGGTGATTCGAGATAGACATTAGGTTGTGAACCATGCATGCTAACTTAGTTAGAGGCTCCCCTTTTATCCTTGACCTTAGGGCCATCATTGTATGATAACATTAGGGATTATATTTAGGATAGTTTCCCTTAGTTGTTTTATTTTATTTGGCATCCTTAAAACTAAAACCTTTTTCTTTGGAAAATGCATAAAACATCTAAAACTTCTCAAATCTTTTTTCAAGGTAAAAAAACCAACAATGGAAATACTTTTGTCTTTGGACTTTCTTTTTCTTTAACACCTTTTCAATAAGGATTTGTTGTTTCAAATTCAAACAACTTGGAAATGCTAAGTGTGTGAGGGGCCGAGCATGAGTCTCTTTACGAGCTGCAATTCCAAGCACGAGTTGCAATCTTAACCGTAAGGATGTGAATGCGGCATTATCCATAAAAAACACAAAACAAACGGAAACTATTGAGCCGAACTATGGTGCTCTAATTCCTTAAAATGGATACATGTACATCTGGTCGCGGGGCTCAGCCGAGCGAAACTTTGTAAATATTTCCTTCTTTTCCCCATGTTTTCTTTTACATGCATTCCCTCTTTGCATTTTTCCTTTTAGCTCGTAAACTGTAGATTTGGGCACACCCTTTGATTAGAACAACAAGAGTGGATCCTGTGAAGTACCATGGACGTGAGGGGTGCTAATACCTTCCCCTTGTGTAATCGACTCCCTTACCCGTATCTCTCAGTCGTTTGACCTTGATTTTGTTAGAACACAGTTTGGTTCTACATCCCTATAAGAGTTTTAATGATAACAAACACATGATATATATAAAGAACAAATATGCTCTCTAATAATGTCTTTTTCAAATGCAGGGAAACTCTATTGTAAGATGCATAGAAGATGAGCAAGGTTCATTTCTGAAGCTCTATTATGACACATCATACTTAGAAGCAAATCCTTGTGACACGCTTAAATGAAGAAGTTATAATGTTACAACTTCTGAATGCACCAATGCATTGAACAAAAAAACTCTGATATTCTGATAAGTAAAGTTCTGGAAAGAACTAAAGAAGTCTCAACGGTAACATTCATCTTCTGATATGATCCCAAGAAAGAATATTCTGAAGCGTTAGAATTTATTCATTGAAAATTAAAAGTAACGGCTGAATCAAGATATGATCTATACTTTTGAAAAGAACATTAACTACACTTTATCAACCTTCCAAAAGCACCTTCTCATGTCTCTCATGCATCACCTATATAAAGAAGACTTGAAGGAGAAACCGCACACAACATTATTGCGCACTAAAAAAGAGAAATCTCATTACCTTTCTATCTTGTGCTTTTCAATTGTGTAATACATCACTGTAGTGATATTTTTTTATCTAGAAAACATATTTGTACACACTGTTAATTATATTATTGTGTAATACATTGAGAAAGCCAAGTTTTGGTTTAAACTCAAGAAGACCTTGACAATTGTCATTGTATATGCGTGTTCAAGTTTGATCAGTGTATTAAGACCTCATTTGAAAAGGAGAAATCAACTTGGAGGATGGACTGGAGTAGTGTTAGTTCAAACGAACTAGGATAACGTGTTTATTGCTTTATTTTTAAAAACCCAATTCAAACCCCCCTTTCTTGTGTTTTTCCATTCTTCAATTGGTATCAGAGCGTCTGGTTCTGGGTGAAAACACTTAACCATGTCAGAAAAAGATCCAAGCAAGAAAAACACTATGGTGGGACCAAGTCAGATCATCAGCAATGATAATCATGATGAGAAAGACAAAATCAACGACAAACCTCCGATCTTTGATTGTGAGAACTTCGATTACTGGAAAGTCAAAATCGAAAGTTTCTTTCTAGTTCATGATGCTGATCTCTGGGATATGGAGACTGATGGATACATACATCCAGTTGACAAAAGAGGTCATAAGATTGACAAAAAGAGAATGACATATCAACAAAAGAAAGAATTCAGAAATCATCACAAAGCTAGAACAATACTCTTGAGTGCTATCTCGTACACCGAGTATGAGAAGATCACAAACAGAGAATCAACCAAAAACATGTTTGACTCCTTGAGAATGACGCATGAAGGCAACACGCAAGTCAAATAAACTAAAGCTCTTGCTCTCATTCAGAAGTATGGGGCTTTTAAAATGGAAGAAGATGAAATAGTTGAAACAATGTTCTCAAGGTTTCAAATTCTGGTTGTCGGGATAAAAGTTATGGATAAAGGGTACTCAACAGTAGATCATGTAAATAAAATCATTAGAAGCTTACCCAAGAAATGGAGACCCATGGTCACAGCCTTAAAACTAGCCAAAGATCTGAACAAAATATCTCTTGAAGAACTGATCAGCTCCTTGAGAAGTCATGAGATAGAACTAGAAGAAGATGAGCCCCAGAAGCAAGGTAAGTCTCTCGCTCTCAAATCTAATAAAAAATATGAACCTAAAGTTTTTCAGGCAAAAGAAGAAAACTCTGGTGGATCCTCGTTAGAAGAAGATGAACTATCTCTTCTCCCCAGAAGAGTCAATTAGCTATGGAAGCAAAGACAGGGAAAGTTTAGAACTCCCATAAGAACAGAGAATCATTCTAAATCATCTTCTGGATACTGAAAATCTAGTAACATGGATATTGTTTGCTACGAATGCAATGAAAAAGGTCATTACAAAAGTGACTACCCAAATATTCAAAAAGAAAATCCTAAAAGAAGTTCTTCAAAAAAAAGAAGAAAAGTCTTATGGCAACATGAGATGACTCAGAATCTTCTGAAGCTAAAATAGAATTAGAAGATGAACGAGCCAACATAGACTTAATGGCCAACATATCAAATGACACTGGATCATCTTAATCAGAGTCAGACTCAGAGGAAGGAGAGGTATTCTCTAACTTTTCTAGATCTCAATTAGAAGAAATCATGTCAGAAATTCTTGAAAGATAACAACAACTTCGAGTCAAAAACAAGAACCTGAAAAAGGATCTAGTATCTGACTCTGAAGAAACTAAGAAACTAAAAACAGAAAACTCTGATATATAAGAAACCATTTCTAAACTCGAAAATGAAAATTATGTTATTAAAAATAAATTACAAAAAGCTCAGAAAGAAACTATTTCAGAAGTTTCTAATAATTCTGATAGAATCATAAAAGAATATGATCATAGCTTTCAAAAATTTCTAGCTCAAAACATAGATAGGAGCAAGATGACTTCAATAATCTATGGAGTTAGCAGAAATGACAGAAAAGGTATAGGATATAAGTGAAAAGAATCTCAACCAAAGAAAGTTAATGATATAGTCATAAAACACACACCTCTCTATTCACACTTCACATATGGACATACACATGACATAAAGTATACTAGTAATGCTTTTTCTGCTAAACCAAAATTCAAACAGAATTTTGGTAACTATAACAAACAAGGACCCAAAAAGATATGGGTATGTAAGGAGAAAATTGTCTATGTTGCAGATGTATATAACAGCAAAGTTGGAACACCAATCTTGGTACCTGGACTCTGGATGCTCTCGACATATGACGGGAAGAAAGCATATGTTCCAAAGTCTGGAGCTTAAATCTGGAGGCTCTGTAGGTTTCAGAGGAAATTAGAGAGGAACGATTATTGGATATGGAACTATTGGTAACTATATACTTCCTTCTATAACTAATGTTCTGTTAGTAGATGGATCAATACATAACCTGTTGTCCATAAGTCAATTAAGTGATAACGGTTATGATATAATCTTTAATCAAAAGTCCTGTAAAGAAGTTAGTCAGAAAGATGGATCTATCCTTTTTAATGGAAAGAGAAAGAACAACATTTACAAAATAAAACTTTTTGAACTAAAAAGTCAGAATGAAAAATGCTTAATGTCTGTTAATGATGACCAATGGGTTTGGAACAGAAGATTGG